GGATCCGCCCATCGTCGAAGTTCCACACGCGGGTACGTAGTTGTTGCTTTGCGCCGATGTGGTAGTCGGTCCTGAGTTCCGTCTTCCGTAATTCTGGTCCTCCGCCCGGCCATTCGCGGTGGCCAGAATCAACCGATGCGGCGGACCGTTCCCGAGGCCTACGGGCATGGTTAGCAGCGCTCGAGGATTAGTCGTCGTGTGTTGCGGGAAGGCACTTCTGCTGGTATCATTTTTGCATCAAACCCGAGTACCACCTTGTTCTATCGACTTGCTAAGAGATGACATCAAGGATCCCAAAAAAATCAATGCTGTGAACAAAAACCTGCTCACGTCGAGATGAATCTTCTTGGATCCAGCAGGAAACAGTGAAGAGAAGTAGATCGGAGAGCGGTACTATCGTGCAACTACATACAACAACCGACAGTAAACCGCTCGTGTCCACGACGAAGCAAAGCAAACTTTTGATATTTTCTCTCCGATTCGTCGTGTTCGTTTCAACGCATTTTTATTTCGGTTCGAAAGCGAGAACTTCGAACGAGCGATACGAGCTTCAACAAGTGCGATCGACCGAACAACGTATATCTTGCGTAAGAGCCGCGCATGGCCTCATGCCGTTATAGTAGTCGTACTCATGGATAATTTCCGTCTTCGTATTAAATCGCAAAACCCTGCTGAGACCGCTACGGAAATTTTTTGGAAGCGCCTCTAGAGTTCCTGACAAGTGTACTATCACACAATCTCATACCTATGTAAAACACTTTTTGCTTGGCAGACATCTGCCCGAAGCAGATCTGGGGTTTCACTTTCGCAGAGGTAATATTAAAACCAGATGCACCGAAAAATCCATCGGTGACTGTGCATTATCATACAACCGAAGTTGCGGATGAAAAATATTGATTCATTCGAATAAAATGAAACTTTTCGGTCCTGCTCCGGCGTGAAAACAACACGTGATGAGGCAACGTAATCAAATCGCGCTCCTATTCCGCGCGGATAAAAGCAGGGCCGGGAGCGGTGTCGGTTCCATCTCTGCTTTGCCCAGGGTCATCTTGATCATGTGTGTGACGCTGCATTTTGGAGGTTTCTCGACGTACACAAAGGTCAACTCGCCCAGATAGTTCGGCTTGGCAGACACTAACCACATTGGGTAGTTCTGGTCGTGTTGAAACAAAAAGCGACTCCTAAAATAGCGAATCACTTGCTTGTAGACGAGCCACCCATCGCCAGTTACGGGCGACGACTCTCGCTCGACGAATTCAAAGGTGAAGGTAGGTTTCAGGTTCTCCGTTTCGAGCCTACCCTCTATTATCGCCGATTTCGGTACGAAACTTAGCGACTTCCGCGGTTTGTACTGGAGCTTGAAGTCTACTTTTTCCTTCGGCCACGTTTCTCTTTGTTGCCATCCTTGCTCGGCCCATTCGGAATCGGCGTGGTCCGTGTCACCGAAAATCCCGCTCGTGCCAGTCGAGCTGTCAGCTTCGAGGAGCTCCGCGGAACCGATGCTCAACCGTGCCGGAACCGTGGCTACCGGCGACTCCGTATCGGCGGGCGTGAAGTAGAGATCAGGCCACAGTCGCCTCGTGTTTTCGAACTGTGTGAAAAGGTGCAGCTTGACCGGCAGCGGGTTGCCATTTCCATCCAGCTGTATTGCGTCAGGCGGAGGTAAAGCGCTCCAGGTGTAGGTGGTGCTCTCTTTGTAGTAGGGGTAGTCAATGTCTTCTTCCGCAACAGAGATCGGACCGAATGTATTGGCGCAAGTGCCGCTTGCAGGCACGGCTATTCCCGAGGGCGCACGAACTCTTATTGCTGCTGCCCTGTGCAGTAGTGCAGCTGCGCTGAGGAGGAGCAGACTTGTGGAGGGCATTTTCCGAGGAACGGTGTGAATCGATCTAGCAAATGTCAAAATGATCCTAGCGTACCCAGATGCTGTAACACGCCCTGCGATTAATCTTGCCGTCAAAAAAATGCAATGCCCAGCGGATGAAGACCGAGGGAGCTCGTGATCCTCTGAACTGGGTTGCCTTTTAGCGATGATCGTTTTCAACTGGCTGACGGCGAGGATCGCGATGTGAGTCGGCAGTAAAAGGGGCTACAACAAGCGCGAAAAAACTTTTCCCATGGTTGTTATTTCTCAAGAATCGTTATCGTTTGCGATAGAGTCTTGCAATAGAAGATCTCCCTTCAGTTTCAGCGCTCTTGCACCACAAACTCAAGATTCGGTTCTAGCGCGGAGTTGGTTAGGAAGGTTTGGTTCCATCTCTACTGTTCGTTAGGTTTCATCTCTCTTCGTTAGGTTCCAACTCTATTTCGTTAGGTGTCAAATCAACAGGATTCTTTATATTCGTGGTAAAACGTAACGCCCCTGCGCGCTTGAATTTGTCGGAAAAATAAGCGTCAAAGTGCTGTATAAAGAAAGGCGACAAATTACTTTGGTATAACTGAGCAGGTACTAAATTTCCAAAACGACAAAAGGCGGCGCGATCCTTTCTACTTTTCTATTTTCTATCATCTTTCTATCTCCCTCTTTAATACCGAGGCTTGATGCAGTTGTTTATGTGCATGCCGAAATTGATCCAATCTTTCTTGTCTCCTCCGTACTGCGGCAAAGGCCCGAAGAAGCACGAGACCCAGTTCGGGTTCAAAAAGAACGCGTGCGAATTGCGTGCCGTCGTCCGCCCGTCCACAATCACCGGCTCGACTTTGTGCGTAGTCGCTCGCACTTTGTCGTTGGTGTAGGAATCCCAGACGCGGCCGATGTTCACAATCAACGGCTCCTGCAGGGGCTCTTCAGCCGTAGCACCTTGTACATTGCTCGCACCTGCTGTTCCACTGCGGTCCGGCAATTTTGCCTTCGCCTTCCCGGCGATCGTTTCGTACACGCCGTGTCGTTTCCAGTCCTTCTCCGGGAGGTTCTTTTTCACGGTCTCGTCCTTGTTCAAAACTTGCAGGCCACCGTTCTCGTCCTGCCGTAGGATGGTGATCAGCCCGAAGTCTTCGTGCGGCGGAATCCGCGGCCGCAGTTTGTGGTCCAGCTCCGGGTTGGTCGGCAGTTTTTCCACGGGCAGCGAGGGGTAGTCGAGAAACCGCATCACGGACCAGTGGGTCCTTTCCATTTCTTCCAAGTCTAACTCGGACGGGACCTCTAGGCTGTCCCGGAGCAGCGCGACGACGGTGAAAGCGATCTTCGCAAACTCGTTGTAGTACTGGTTCAGGTCGACAGTCTTGTACAAGCTATGGTCGTCCTCGTCTGCGCCGGCCTGTTGATGTGGTTTTGTGGCTTGTGGAAATGAGAGACGAGAACATTGCTGCACGGCCAACGAACTTCTATGCGCAGCCAAACAAGGCCTGCGAGCGCAACGTAATCGAAAAATTGAATTCCTACAAGACTGCCACAACGATCTACGCTTTCTCGCGTCTTCCGCCTCCCGCAGCAGCTCAACAGCGCTCGCCCCGACCGCTTCGCGTCGTATCTTTCCCCGTCCACGTGTCGGTGGGGGAAATCCGTTTCCTTGGCGTCCTTCCACATCCGCCGACTCTCTCCCTCGTCGACGTTTAAATCCTGTCCCGTCGGGAGCAAACGCGGTTTGTCGATCTGCCCGTCCGAGAAGTAGTCAAAGGTCTGGTTCGATTCGTCCTTTTTCATCGTCCCGAGTCCGTAGGGGAAGCCCGCGTTAGAATCCTTCGCCGTCAGGAACTCGTTTTTGTCTTCCCATCGGAACATCTGCTTGCCCAAGGCCCACATGCGGTCCCAGAGGGCGGGGGTGTACTGGTAGCCGGTAACGCGGCAAAAGCCGACCGTCTCCATCGCGCGCTTCATCTGCCGCACGGCCTCGTTGTGCTTGGCGAGGGCGTCGTCGGTCGCGTCTTCCTTCTGCGCCGCAGTCGCGAGCACGGCGCTAAGGTCAATCAACGGCAGGAAGTCCTCTTGTTGTTCCCGCACCACGTCATGTCCGTCGGGCGCGGCAAGGCCCGGCGCCGCTGTTGCAGCGTCGTCGGTACTACTCGCGGCGCCTGCAAGGATCGCGGCGGAGGAGGAGCCGGCCG